TGAAACCACGGATGGACAGACAGACAGACGCTGTCACTGCTGCAGAGAGGAAGAGGAGGGTGAGCTGAAGCAACACAGCCACGTGGACCAGGAGAGGGGACCCCAGCCCGGCTGTGCCACCAGGGACCAGCTGTAGGATTGGCCTCGTGGACCTGGCAGCCCGGCTGGGGGACATTTCCCACTGGCTGTGGGGGTTTCTGTGCTGCATCGTCATGCCCACGAGGCCATCCCGGTGTTTCTGATGGACAAGGTCACCCTCAGCATGTCACTGCCCCTGTATGGCGCACCGTGTGGCACGGACCAGCTCTCCATCCTCCTCTCTGTGTTATAGTCAGGGATCGTGCGGGTGGGTGGTTCTGTCCTCGCAGGGCTTCATACCGAGGTGCTGCCTCAGGGGATGCTTCCTTCCAACTGGTGCCTGGGTCAGGGGAGAGGGGCAGCTGGAAAGGGAGCCGGTGGAAGCTGCCTACACTCCGTGCACCGGCTCAGCTGTGCTGTTCCTTGCAGCTGATGCAATGAGATGGAGGCGTGCTTCCCTGCAGGAAGAGTCCCTGCACCAAAATATAGGGACAGTACCACTCCTGTGGTGGATCTGGCCTCTGGGAGAGAGCCCTGGGGCACTGTCACACCCCAGATGTAGCCGTCATCCAGCTGGCTGGAGGGATTCCCGCTTGTCCTCATCCCTTAGGAGCTGCCACAGCTTTAGAGCTGATTTTGGATAAGAGAGGGGCTCTTTTCCCACCTGGTCACTGCTCGTGGACCACTCGCATGGGACATCTCTGGGGCAGTGTCTTCCTGGGAGCTGAGGAGCTCCTGGCTCACCCTGCCAGCCAGCGATCGGACAGCAGCTCCTTGGATTTTAAAGCCAGAAAGGTCTGCACACACAGGCTGCGTGATCAAATCACCCAATCTTCCTCCTCCTGGTAGCGTCAGACATCAGCCTGCCAGAAAAACACTGGGTGTGCATCCGCTGGGTGCTCTGCTTCCACGCAGAAGGTCCTGGGTGCTGCATCCCACCACGGTCAGGCACGGGGATGGTCGATGCCACAGAGCATCCTGGAGTCTTTGGTGTGGAGCCAGCTGGGAGAATGCTGCTGGGTGGAGAAGGGGTGCTGGTGGAGGAGTTACGGCATCGCTGAGAAGCGGGCAAAGCAGAGGCACTGCAGGCATCCAAAGGGCAGGTTGAGGGTTGTGTTGGTGGAGGATTGTTACAGCCACATCCACAAGAGAAGAAATTGGAGGGACGTTGCTGTTGAAGGGTGGGGAGCTCATCAGAGGTGCCTGTGAGGCTGTATCACGGAGTTAGTTTGTTCTGCAGCTCTGCTACTGTCCCAGCTGTGGACATCTGGGGACAGAGCGCACTGCAAGCCCCACTCACCTTGTGCCAGGACCCTGGTGGTGAGGTGTTCAGTGTGAAGGGGCTGCGGCATATGTGACTGTCCGTGCCAGCCGCCACCACCAGATGACCATGCCAGGGCTGCTGAGCTCTGCAAGTGGCCAGTGCTGCTGGGAAGCTGCAAATGGGCACCAAAAAGGGACTGTTTGGACCGAGGGGCAGGTCCAAGAGGGGTGCCTTTTGCACAGCTGTGCCCACAGCCTCTTCCTCCAGCCTGTGCCTGGCCCTGGCGAAGAGCCGTCCCAGCTGCCGGGGAGCTGGGGAATCCTCTATGGTGGAACCAAGGCAAAGCCCTGGGGACATGCCGGCTGCGTCAGGGCTGACATGCTTGTGCGTCACGGTTGACATGGTGGAGGACATGCAGCGTCTGCTCCCGTTGGCCCCTGCACTGTCCGGGATCCCACTGTCCTCCTGCCCTGAGGACTCGTTGGCTGTGGGAGTAAAATTCCCCACTGGGACACATAGCCCCACGGGCAGGGACGATAGGCAGGGTCAGCCGCCCTGCACTGCTTGCTCATGCCTTTGGCTTGCCCCTCTCTCTCCTATGGCCCCCCCCATCAGCAAAAAACTATGTGAGCTCAAAGCCACATAGCCAACAAACAACCTATTTCAGCAGCAGCAGCTATGTCCAGGACCTGGGGGGTTACTGAGGTCAGTGCTACTGAACTTGTGCCTTCCCTGGCTGCTGCGGGGCCGGGGACGAAGCCACATCGTCTCAGGTCTTGCTGAAAGCTGCCCCATCTCTTGGGATGGGGCGAGTGCATAAAGACAGAACGGTTGGCCCACGGCAGTGGGAGTTACGTACTGTAAGGATGTTTTTATTTTATTTTATTTTTCTCTGTTTAAACCACTGTGTGCTTCTCCCGGTGGTAGGTTTGGTTTGGGGGGTGTGTTTGGGAGGGGTGTTCGCAATGTGCGGCCACCTGAGTGCAGCCCCATGGCCAAGAGCTGCTGTGGCTAGGGGGTGGTTTGCAGGGAAGGAGCTGGGAAGCTGGGACAGTGGGTGAGCATCGTGGGGAGCCACCATGGCTGCTGAGCATCACGTACCCCGTGGCTCTGCCGGAGCCCTGCTGGCTGCTGGCCCCTTTGTGGACCCCTCATGGGGTGCCAGCTGTTTTTTTTCCCAATGGCACCATTTAAAGGTGAGTTGCCCAAGCTCTCCAGAGCCTTCTAGCTGCCCATCCTCAAGCCAGAACTGGAGCTGGCACATTGTTACAGCAGCTGCCCAAACCAGGCTTCTTCCCCCGAGGTTGGGGGGGACCCAAGGGACATGGCTCTCTGGGGGCCAGGGGCTCTTTCCCCCTCGGTGGGACGTGTGATGCTGGAGAGACCACGTCGGTTCATGCCAAATATACTTGAAAGCAGAGCTGGAGTTTCTCATGCATGAGACTCTGAGTCGACGCACAGAGATCCCGTGCTGGTCACTGGTCTGTTTGCTTCCACCGAGCTGGGGACTGGGACCTGGCTCTCCATCGCCCGACAGATCGGCCCTTTCAATGTTCAAGCCCTTCTGTGGCCAGCTGAGATGCACGGAGCTTTTATTTTTAAATGTACATCTATAAAACCGAGGCTGGTGAGGAGCACTGCAATAAACACTGGGTTTTACTGGCGTACAGAAATGGAGTTTGGGTTTTGCAGTTTCCCACCCACAGCTCTGCCCTCCGTGTGGGGATGGGGGGGTTCGCCTGGGGGCTTGGGCAGCTCCCAGCATCCAAAAAGCCTGAAACCAGCCCCTGGGCAGGAATAAAGCTGGAGGGTGGTTTTAGGTAGCAATCAGCTTCCTAAAGATTTTTTATAATAAATAAAGCTGTAAAGCGTGTTTCCTGCTGGGACACAGAGCAGAAGCTCTAAAAGGGGTTGGGGCTGTCCTGGGCTGGCTTTCCCCAGGGTTTTATAGAATCACAGAAGGGTTTGGGCTGGAAGGGACCTTAAAGCCCATCCAGTGCCACCCCCTGCCATGGGCAGGGACCCCTCCCACTAGCCCAGGTTGCTCAAAGCCTCATCCAGCCTGGCCTTGAACCCCTCCAGGGATATTTTCCAGGTGACAAGCACAGGCAGAGAGGAGGGGAAGGAGGCGATGGTGACCTGGCCCTGGCCCTGAGCACAGGGGAGCACTTGGCCGGTGCCGGTGGGATCCTTCAAACAGCAAAGCCGCCCTCTCTATAAGGTGCAAGCACTGCCTGCAGATGGGGGCTGAATTTGGGCATCACCCAAACTCACTGCAAAAGTTCTGGGAGGTTTGGGTGCCGGTGCAGCCGCCACATGAAACCCATCAGCTGCTGGGTGTGGGGTAGGGGTGTGAGCACCCAACCCCCTTAGGGAACTGACCCCCAGAGCCGCCCCCTCCTTCACCCCAGTCCAGGCTGGACCAAGTTGCGGGACCCAGCGGGCTGGGAGCAAGCGATGCTCGTGCCTGGATCCCTCGGAAGCTGTCCCACACGGGCGTTCGTTAGCTCTTTCTGACGCTGGCTGATGCCCAAATAACTCCAAACAGGTCAGAAGGGGAGAGTGAGGGCTGCAGGGGCCGGCCAGCCCTGACGCAAGGGTGATGGGTGGTGTGGGTCGGAGCCAGGGCAGGGGATGGCCGGAGGATGAGTCACCCAAAGACGCAGGAGGGGACGGAGTGGAGGCAGTGATGGCTCAGCCCACGGCAGCAGCGGGATGGGGCTTAGCGGGGCTGCCCTGCCCAATTTCGGGAGATAAGCGGGATGGTGCCCCAGGATCACAGCTCAGGGC